TACTTTTTGCTTTTCTCGGAAACTGTATTGCTTGTAATTAATTGGTAACAGGAATTCATGTCATCCAATGCTATAAATAATCATGATCGTGATTGACAAATCGGACTCGCACAACGCGGTCGTCCAATTTGGCCTTCAAAGGTCTTAAGTTGTAGTTTGATTTTCGTCTCATCTCACAGAAATTACAGAAACAAGATTGCAAGAAAGCCCAACTACTCAGATTGCAATAGTAATCGCTGCAGCTTGTGTGATGGCAACCTTGCTTATCAATGGTGTTTTGGGGCTTTTGTGGTACAGGCGATATAAAGTTGGCAAAAAGGTAATGTTTGTTTGTCCGCTTCTCCGTTCACTTTTGCCGTAATTTTTCTTCTTCATTTAAGAAACAAAAATAAAACAAAATTAACATCCAAACATCTAGATGAGAAACTTCGCGTCGAGGCTCTCACTGCATTTTCTTCACTTTGATTCTCTAAGGTGCATCCACACTACTGTAATGCGTTTTCGTATCATAAGGCATTCTTTTTTATTCAGTTTTCCGTGTCTTCCACTCCAAAAAAAAATTGTCAACGCGAATGAAAACAGGTTTTAATAGTGGCATTGATAAACGCATCGTTTTTAAAACGCTTCAATGTTTGTGTGGACACATGGAAACGAAGGCTTTTGGAATCAAACTGTATGGATTTCCAAATAAGAATACAATGGCACGGACAATTGAAATAAAAAAAAAGAAAATGCAAATATAAGCTTCGTTCAGTTTGCAACGAAACTGACACGTTTGAATATGCTTAGGTGTGCGGGGCTGGAGCTCAAATATCTCAAGTTTGTTTAAGGTACCTCTGATGACTATGCAGTTCTTTGACTGGAGTTGGAAACACTACTTTTACTGGATATATTTCCTTTTCATAAGTATATGTATAAAATCTCAGAAAATCATTTTTGTCACCTACTTGTTCGTCTGACGGTCACTTTAAAAACTACGTAATGGAATGCGCTTAGCCGTGTGTTCATTCGTTAACAGGGACTGCACTGTTAAAGTACAATTTCTAATCTATCTGTTAACTTAGACCGGAAAAAGGATTTGAAAAAGATACAAAACAAGGTAATAAAGAAACAGCACATCAACACGCCTCTAAAGTTCCTCATTGGTAATTCTTCTTTCTCATTTAATAAACATCAGCAGGAGGGACAGCAAAACATCGTGAGTGTTCATATGCGCAATGGCAAATACCCAACAGTCTTAATTGCGCAGGATGCTGAAAAGAACCCATCGCTCGAAGCCAATAACATGGAAAGGGTTGAAGAAAAGCTCCTGCTGTGCACAATGGAGAAAAATACGTCTGAAATGGAACCTTGATGGAACGAGCTATACACAATCCATAATGACCACAGCTAATTAGGGACTTGTTGTCCCTAAGCTCTCTAGATTTTAAATGATTATTCATTGAAGTAGAGGTGAAAAGTGATGGATATTTACTGAGCTTAGAGGCAAAGGCGCGGTAAGTGTCCAACACAGTTCGCCCACACTATGGTAAATAAATGTTTTAGAATATACCATAAAAGCCAAACACTAGTTTATTTCTATCCATATACCGAAAAATGGCTTGCTAATCACTGCTGTAATGAAGCGGACGCTGATACAAATCGATTCAACAGCGCCGCGTCGGGGAAAAGTCTCATTTAGCGGAGCGAGGT